TGGCCCTAGCCATCTCTCTTAATAGCCAAAAAGCTGCATGAACAAATTCATGGAATTTATTCATCCAACAAAACTGTTCCAAGCACTATTCTGAGTACTTGGATGTCAGTGAACAAAATAAAAATCCTGCTGAGCATGGTGATGCGTGCTTTAATCCCAGCACTCTGGGTGGTTGGGGCAGTAGAATCAAAAGTTCCAGCCCAGCATGGACAACTTAGTGACTTAGACCCTGTCTAGCTCAAAAAGTAAAAGAAAGGGTCAGGGATGCAGCTCAGTGGAAAGGCTCTGGATACAGTGCCCAGTACCACAAAAAAATCCTTGGGCTCGTGGAGCTGCATTTTAGTTTTGGGGAAAAGATGACAATTCAATTGAATTATCAATATATTCGATAAATGTAGTGGGAGGGGAAAAAAGCAGAGCAAGATTAGAAAAGGACTGAGGGGTCTAGGCTGAGTGAGGAGCAAGTTGTCATCCTAAAGTGAGTGATCAGGATAGGTGACATGAGCAAAGACTGGGAGCATGTAAAGGAGTCAGCCGCACAGCTACCTGGGAAAGAACGTTCCCGGCAGAGGAAGCGGTCAGTGCGGAGGTAGGGGAGGGTCTGATATTCGAGGAATAGCAAGGAAACCATTGCAGCTTCCGGCGAGTGAGGGAGAGAGAAGGCAAGAGACAGGCCAGAGCACGTCCCTGAAAATGCAGACTTTGGAGCATGATGAAGACACACTGGGCTGTGGGAGAGATGGGCCCGGTGTGGAAATTAGAACCTCCCATTGGGAAGGAGGGCTGAGGCCGGCCTGGAGCAGGAAAGGGAGAGCTCCTCCCTCATTTCCTGGTGACAGAGGTCCTCTGGCTGATTTGCAAGCTGCTGAGCTGACCCCAGGTTGAGCCTCTCTGCTGCCTTTCCTGTAGGACAGGGCAGCAGGAGCCATTCCTCTGGTCAGCTGGCCTTTCTCTCCCTGCAGCCTCGTACACCAGTAACCTGGCCTACAGCTTCTACAGTCACAAGCTCTATGCCGAGGCCTGTGCCATCTCCGAGCCACTCTGCCAGCACCTGGGCTCGGCGAAGCCAGGCACTTACCCTGAGGTGCCTCCGGAGAAAGTAAGAGGGCATTGGGAGGGAGGGGGGAGCTGGCGCGGTGGAAGGGGGAGTAGTGTGAAAGGGCTGGCAGGACCCTACTTTGAGTAGGGGATTAGGAGCTGCGTGTTGGCCCCAGTATGCAGGGTAGGGTAGGATTTCCTGAATCTCACCTGGGCTGTTCCTTCATCTCTTCTTTCTCTTTCTTTAGATTGATTCATTGTTTTATACTTAGCCTTACCCTAGGCCAGTGGTTTGCAACCTAGCTGCACATTAAGAGTCACCTGAGTAAATCACTGAAAAGTTCTAATTCCTCATCCAAGTTAATTGCATCAGAATCTCCAGCCTGGGAGCCCAGGCCGCTGGGTGCAGTGGTGCATTTCTGCAATCCCAGCACTGAGGGAAGCTAAGGCAGGAGGATCACAAGTTTGAATTCTGAGATCCCATACAGAAATTTTATTTTATTTTTATTATTTATTTATTTTTTTGTTTGTTTTTTGAGACAAGATCTCCCTTTGCAGTTCAAGCTGGCCTTGAACTCACTTTATAGCCCAGGCTGGCCTCGAACTCACAACAGTCCTTCTGCCTCAGTCTCCCGAATGCTGGGATTACAGGCGTATGCGCCACGCCTGGCTCCCATACAGAATTTTTTAAAAGGGGCTGGAGCTGTAGATCAGTAGTGGAGTGCCCCTGCGTTCGGGCCCCAGTACTAGAAATAAGCACTACCCTCAAAAGTGGTCCTTTGCACAGCCAGAGTGAGAACCAGAGTCCTGACAAGCTTCCCCGTGAAATGCTGGGTTGGCTGGATGGGCAAGTGAGTGGCTGAGGGGAGTGCTTCCAGGGTTATTTGTGAGTGAGTTGATGAGAATTTGAAGGACTGACGTGGAGGCGTGACCTCAAATTGGTGTTTGCATTGCACTGTGGTGAATGGAATGAAGGAACTAGACTGGTTAATTGAGCTGGGTGTGGTGGTGCACGCCTGTAATCCCAGCACTGGGGAGGCTGAGGCAGGAGGACTATTGTGAGTTCGAGGCCAGCCTGGGCTACAAAGTGAGCTCAAGGCCAGCCTGAACTGCATAGCAAGACCCTAACTCAAAAACAAAAAAAAGAGGAGAAGCCTGTCTTCAAGGGTGTGGATGACAACTATCAGGCCAGTAGATGGGAACCTCAGAGGCTGGGTGACGGGGTGTTTAGTTCTCAGATGTCTCCTGCCAGGCTGGCGGTGAGGGTGGGGCAGGGGGCCACCTGTCAACCTCCACCAGGTTCCATGTGCGCGTGCTGTGGACACTCGCTGGCTCCTCCCTCCAGCCTGTCTGTCCCCTGTCTCTGGTCAGTTGCACAGGTACTTCCGGCTGCATGTAGAGAGCTTGAAGAAACTGGGTAAACAGGCGCAGGGCTGTGAGATGGTGACCTTGTGGCTGGCGGCCCTGCAGCCCTGCAGCCCCGAACACATGGCTGAGCCAGTCACTTTCTGGGTTCGGGTCAAGATGGATGCGACCAGGGCTGGAGACAAAGAGCTACAGCTAAAGTGAGTCGGTGGGGAGGAGGACAACCGTACTATCCAATGGAGTGGGTGGATTTTTATATTCATGGTCATATTCCTCAGTCCTATGTCTGAAAAGGTGGTGATTCCTTCATTCATCAGTTACTTATTGAGTGCCTACTGTGTGCCAACCACTGTGCTAGGTACTAGGGCTAGAGCAGTGACAGGCAGTGTTCTTGGATTTTTTTGGGTTTTGTGTTTTTGAGACAGAGTCTCACTGTGTAGGCCAGGCTGGCCTCGAACTTATGGCAGTCATCCTGCCTCAGCCTCCCAAGTGGTGGCATACAGGTGTGTACCCCATGCCCAGCATGTTTTTTTTTGTTTTTTTTTTTTTGTACTGAGAATTGAACTCACAACCTTGAGCTTGCTGGGCAGGCACTGTGCCGCTGAACTAAACCCCTGGCCCATCCCAGCATGTTTTTATGGAGTTTATACTCTCCTTGGGGAGATGGAGAACAATTATATTTCCTTCTTTTTCAATATTAGTATATTGTGCTTTTCAAAATTAGTATATTAGTATATTGTGATATTTCCATCAGGGGCCGGGGATATAGTTCAGCAGCACAAGCACCTGCCTGGCAAGCTCAAAGTCCTCAGTTCGATTCCCGGTACCACAAAACCCAGTACTCCCATCTCAAGATACTGGTACCTGTACATACTGTGTGTGAGTCATTTTTACTTTCCCTTTGCTTCCTTCTCCTCTGCCCCCATCTTCAGGTCCTCTGAGCACATTTCACATGTGCTTCATGAAGACAAGGGCATTTGAAGAGGGAGCAACTTTGTATGGGTTACTTAGGGAGGCCAGTTTGTTTGTTTGGTTGGTTTTGGAGTTTTTGGTGGTACTGGGGACTGGGAAAAAAACATGGGGGCACATCTCTGGAGCCTTTGCACTCTGAGAGGCTGAGGCAGGAAGATCACAAGTTTGGGCCCAGCCTGTTCAACTTAATGAAATAAAATAAAAATAAAATAAAGAAGTATTTAGCTCAGTGCAGAAGCTCTAGGTTCAATCTCTAATACCATACACACACACACACACACACACACACACACACACACACACACACACAATTAGAGAGGAGAATTCCTCACAGAATAGTAAACATAAAAGCTCCAAGGTGGGAAGGTGCTGGGAGGTTGCTGTGAAAGCCAGCAGGTCGGAAGCATGAGGGCCCAGGCTTGGGAATGGAGGCTGCGGCTGGCAAGGTGGGCGGGGCCCAGGCCACACGGAGCCTTAGCCGCTGCGGTAGGGGTTTGGTGTGATTCCCGAGGGCAGCCCATTTCAGTGTATTTAACAGAAGAGTGACCGGGCATGGTGGCGCACACCTATGATGCCAGCACTCAGGAGGCTGAGGCAGGAGGATCCTTGCAAGTTTGAGACCAGCCTGGGCTACAAAGTGAGCTCAAGGTCAGCCTGAACTACATAGCAAGACCCTGTCTCAAAAAAAAAAGAATGAACAGAAGAGTGGCGCAGTCTGATTGAGACTCTGGTGAACTCTAGGCCAGGGCTGGGGCTCCCCGGCCTGGGGACAGAGGCTGTACCCGAGTGCTGAGCCTGCTCTCTCTCAGGACTCTGCGAGATAGCCTGAGTGACTGGGACCCAGAGACCCTGGTCCTCGTGCTGAGGGAGGAGCTGCAAGCCTACAAGGCAGTGCGGGCTGACACGGGGCAGGAACGCTTCAACGTCATCTGTGACCTGCTGGAGCTGAGCCCTGAGGAGACACCAGCCGGGGCCTGGGCGCGAGCCACCCACCTGGTGGAACTGGCTCAGGTGCTCTGCTACCATGACTTCGCCCAGCAGACGGACTGGTGAGTGGGGAGCTGGGGAGGACACTCTTGCTCCTTGCTCGGTGTCCTCCTACTCTTTTCGGGGTCAGCTTCCCTCTCCATGTTGCTGAGTGCCCTCTTCAACTTGTGGCCAGGGGAGCTCAGTCACTGCTACCCGCTGTCTTCTTGCAGCAGGCCCTTCCCAGGGCTCAACAGCTGGTACCCGAAATGGGCCCAGCTATGTGCACCTTCTCTCCACAGCTCTGCCCTGGATGCTATCCAGGAGGCCCTGCAGCTTCTGGAGGCTGTGAAGCCAGAGGCCCAGGCCAAGGATCGGCTTCTGGACGATAAAGCACAGGCACTGTTGTGGTTCTACATCTGCACCTTGGAGGCCAAAATACGGGAGGTGAGTCTGGCTGAATAGAATTGGGTGTAGCAATAATTTTCCACGGGATCCCTGTAAGCTGGTATGAACCCTGTTTTTTACCTTGCTTCACCCGTGCAGGGTATTGAGCGGGATCGGAGAGCCCAGGTTCCTAGTAACCTGGAGGAATTTGAAGTCAATGATCTCAACTATGAAGATAAACTCCAGGAAGATCGCTTCCTGTACAGTAACATCGCCTTCAACCTGGCTGCGGATGCAGGTGAGGGCGGTAACCAGCCTGACTTGGGTGTCTCCTCTGTGCTTGCTAAGAGCAGAGCGGAGACCCCTGGTGTGGGAGAGGCTGCGGGGAGCAGAGAACATTATGGAGAAACCAAGTTCTCTCCAGATGGCCCATGAAGACAGACCGCTCATTTCTTCTGGCCTACAGCTCAGTCCAAACCCCTGGACCAAGCCCTTGCTCTGTGGAAGGAGGTCCTTACAGAGGGGCAGGCTCCAGCTGTGCGGTGTCTCCAGCAGACAGCAGCCTCGCTGCAGATCCTCGTGGCCCTCTATCAGCTGGTGGCCAAGGTAACATGGGCAGGTGTTGATGGAGGTCCCTGCAAATGGCGCTCTGTCCCTTTCATGAGCCTCTGAGCCTGCTGAGAAGGCCTGTAACCCACTGATTCAGAGCTGGGCTTCTTCACCAGGCTCTCCAACTTTAAATCTAGGCTTTATCATTTATTAGTAAATGGGCTCAGGCCAGTAGTTTAACCATCTAAGCCTAAGTTTCCTTTTTTTTTTTTGTCTTTTTTGAGACAGGGTTTTACTATGCAGTTCAGGTTGGCCTTGAACGCACTTTGTAGCCCAGGCTGGCCTCAAACTTGCGGTGATGCTCCTGCCTCAGTCTCCTGAGTGCTGGGATTATAGGTGTGTGCCATCATGCTCAGCTCCTTATCTTTATTTTTTTTGTTGTTGTTGTTGGTTTGTTTTTTTGGTTTTTCTCCGGTACCAGGAACCGAACTCACGACCTTGCGCCTGCCAGGCAGGCGCTTTGCCGCTGAGCTAAATCCCCAGCCCCACAGCTCCTTATCTTTAAAAGAGGGGCAGTAGTAGTACTACCTCGGGCATTGTTACTCAGTTCAATAATGCATGGAAGATGTTTTGTATAAACAGAAGACTCACACATTAGCTAGAATTATTAATAACTAGATATAACTAGATAATAGCTAATAACTAGATCAGATCTAAATACTCAGAGAAATAAACAATTTTACATACAATTTCAGGGGGCTTTATAGACTCAGCGGAGCTGTTCCTTGGATCTCACAGTAAGAAATTTAAAACAGAAAGCAAAAAACACTGCACATAAAGGAGCTTCGGGTCTGTGGTCTGTAGGCCATAGTCCAGTGCAAGGAGGCTGGGAAGCTACCTCAGCCCTAGATTTGAATCTTGGCTCTACCAGATTCCTGTTATGTAAACTTAGACGAGCAGCGTCACCTATGTGAGTTCTTATTTCCTGTGCAATAAACTTGGGATTAGCGTTGCTCGGAAGAGTGGTGAGTTGTTGCCTGTAACCTCGTGGTGCGGTGCCAGGTACACGGCAGACATAGTAAGTCCCGGCTGTTGTTAGTGGTCGGCATCCAGGCTTTTAAACAAAAGGCCAGGTGCTTTGCAGGCTGCCTGTGCAGGTGATGGTGTCTGTGTGTAGCTAGACACACAGGGGGCAAAGCGCTGGGGGCAAAGGGCAGAAATGGGGGCTTGCACAGGAAAGAGTCAACTTGCTGCTTCTGGCCGGCCAGCCTCTGCAGGCCCTGGAGGCCCTCCTGCTCCTGCGGATCGTCTCTGAGAGATTGGTGGACCATGCGAAAGCAGCCAGCTCCTCTTGCCAGCTCGCCCAGATCCTCCTGAGCCTCGGCTGCCCCAGCTATGCCCAGGTGAGTGGCAGCAAGCAGCACCCAGAGCTACAGGTCGCACGTGGCTTAGAGGCCCACCTTTCCCCCGACAAGACAGGAAACAGAAGGGCCAGCTTCTCTGCCTTCTACCCCTATACTGGCTGGGGAGCTGGATGTTATAGTGGTGGCAGGCGGCTGTGGGGACAGGGCGCTTCTTTCTCCTTAGTGTAAAAACTGATTATTCATAGATCTTACAGTTCTGCTCCAGGAATCTACTGTCCATGCTGCATTTCCCAGCTGTTTCCATGTAGCTGTCACAATGTCTCCTAGTTGGTCTCCTTGCTTTTCTTCATTTTTGTTTGTTTTCTTTGTGGTATAGGGGATCAAACCCAGAGCCTCACACATGCTAGACAAGTGCTCTACCGCTGACTTACAGCACCAGTCCTTTTTCTTTTTTCTTTTTCTTTTTTTTTTTTTTTTTTGAGACAGGCTCTCGCTATGCATTTCAGGCTGGGCTTGAACTCACTATGTAGCCCAAGTTGGCGCTGAACTAACTCACAGTGATCCTCCTGCCTCAGCCTCCCGAGTGCTGGGATTATAGATGTGAGCCACCACACCCAGCTCCAGTTTCTCCCTTTCTGATTTCATCTTCTAACTACCACTTGGAGGCACAGGTCTGCTCTTACCTCTTTCCCATGTAAAAGGTTTCCATTGTTCTCTCCTCCCTTACCTTAAGCATACTGTCCACACGCAACTTTTCTGCCCCTTGCTGCCATGTACTTTATGCAAGTTCATACCTATTACTTCCTGTCCCCTGTATGTGCCTTTCTGTCTTTGGATGTCTTCGTCCCTCCCCTGGACGTGCACCTCTCCCTGCTTCCCCTTTTCTCATCCCGCAAACCTCTCTGCTCTTTTCAAGGCCTTGGCTCGGTTGCCACCTCCTTCATGAAGCACTTTTTACACCTGCCTCTTCAAGGCCACACCAACTACTTTCCAGGTGCCCCTGCCCTAGGACAGCACCCCACACACTGTTCCCTGGTTGAGTTCATGTGCCTGTGTCCTCCTCGGGCCTGGGCACCTGGTGGACAGCAGCTTGTCTGCTCTTTATGTCAGCTTTGTCTTTCTAGATGGTAGTTAATGGAAAGTGTGGAATGAACATTGTCGTGAGTGAGTAGTAGCTTTTATGTAGATTTTTGTCTTGTTTTAGTACCGGGAATTGAACTCAGGACCTTAGGCTTGCCAGGCAGGCGCTTATGCTGCTGAGCTACATTCCCCAGCCCTGTGTAGATTCTAACACTAGAAATAATTTAATATTTACTTGGTCATGTTCAGGATTTAACTTGCAGTTGCTTGACTCCACTTTAATGTGAAGAATCTGGCTTCTGCCCTCAAGTGCTCATCCCCTCTCTGCTGATTGCTTCCTTAGTTCTACCTGGAAGAGGCCGAATTGACCCTGACGCATCTCGATGAGACCACGGACACGCACCTGCTCCTTTCCCTGACCTGTCAGCTACTTCGAAGTCAGCTCTGCTGGGCGCAGCAGAAGGTATTTCCCATTTCTTTCTTTCTTTACTTTCCTCTGTTCCTTTCTTTCCTTCTCTCTCTCTCTCTTTCTCTTTCTTTTCCAAATGCTGAGAATCAAACCAAGGCATCATACATGCTAGACACACACTCTACCACTGAGTTATTTCCCCAGCCTCATTTTTTCACTTTCTAATCCTCAACCGTTCTGTGTGTCAGGAAGATGTTCAGATTTTCAGGGTATTTGTCTGGTCTCTGAGCTGTCCTTGGAGCTAGGCAGGATTGTTTCTGACCCTGTGAAGTGGTAGAAATTTCCTGGCTTTGCCCCAAGTAATCACCCTCTAGTAGAGATATTATTCTTTTCATTTTATTCCAGTTTCCACAGGGGTGATGGAGACCAGAAATCAGGAAGACAGTGATCCTGGGAAGATGCTAGAGTCCTAGACTAGAAAATTAGGAGGATCCAAAAGACCTGAGTGTTCTCCCAAATTAGCTCTGTGTGTGTGTGGAGGGGGGTGGTGGTACTCAGGATTGAACCCAGGGCCTTTGCCCTGACCTACATTCTCTGCCATTTTTTATTTTGATACAGGATCTTGCTAAATCACCAAGCTGCCTAGGCTGATTTGAATTTTTAGTCCTCCTGCCTCAGCATCCTAGAGTGCTGGGATTATAGGTGTGTGCCACCATGCTCTGCTTAGTTGTATGTTTTGGTCAAACCTTTTTTTTTTTTTTGTCTTTCTGAGACAGGGTCTTCCTATGCAGTTCAGGCTGGTCTTGAGCTCACTTTGTAGCCCAGGCTAACCTCAAACTCATGGCAGTCCTCCACCTCCTGAGCACTGAGATTACAGGCACGCACCACCATGCCTCGCTGGCCAAATCTTTTTATCTGTTTTTTGAGACAGGGTCTCACTAAATAGCCCAGGCTGGCCTCAAACTTGTGATTCTCCTGCGTGTTGGGATTATAGGCAGGCCAGATCTTATACCCGCTCAGGCTCCAATTTTTCTCTCAGAGTTTTCTTGTTTTTAAAAGTCGGGTTGAGGCCCAGGGTAATAGGTCAGTGGCACAGCACCTGTCTGGCAAGTGCAAGGTTGTGAGTTTGATTCCTGGTACCAAAAAATAAATAAATAAATAAATAAAAATAAAAGTAGGGTTGAGGCTGAACATGGTGGCACACACCTGTAATCCCAGCACGTGGGAGGCTGAGGCAGGAGGAGTGCCATGAGTTCGAGGCCAGCCTGGGCTACATAGTCCAGGCTGAACTGCAAAAAAAAAGCAAGGTTGGGCCCCACAACTTCCGGTGCATATCAGGCTCTGAAATGCATTATCTGACTGCTCTCCGCTGGCCCTTTGTGTCTCTCAGGTGACTGAGGGTGTCTCTCTGTTGCTGACTGTCCTTCGGGACCCTGCACTCCAGAAGTCATCCAAGGCTTGGTACTTGCTTCGAGTCCAGGCCTTGCAGCTGCTGTCCATCTACCTTAGCCTCTCATCAAACAGCCTCTCAGATGCCCTGCGCGAGCAGCTTTGGGCCCAAGGTGAAAGAGTGGGACCCGTGGTCTTCGTTGGAGGATGGGTGTGGTTTGCCTGCTGTGAGCTCTTCCCACCTCATCCCCTTTGCTGTGTGTGGAGTGGCATAGCCAGGAGCTACACAGAGGAGGCCTGGGGTAGCAAACAGGTCTCACCCACCACCTCTGACTGACCATTAACTGCTTGGAAGACCAGACTGAAAAGAGTTCTGAGAGCCCATGGGGTCTCAGAGGAGAGTTCTCTGCCCGACTTGCTCTGTCTGCCCTGGGTCCAAAAGGAAGAGCCCCAGCAGACTTGACCCTCACTGTCGTAGGAGCTGCTGGTGGGCCTGGCCGCATCACCTGCCCTCCTCTCTCCTTGCTCCCCACAGGCTGGCAGACACCTGAGACAGCACTCGTAGACTCCCACAAGCTCCTCCGAAGCATCATCCTCCTACTGATGGGCGGTGATGTTCTCTCCCTCCAGAAAGCAGCTGTGGAGACACCGTTCCTGGACTGTGGTGCGTGAGGAGGACAGCGGGGCCCCGCCAGGGAGGGGTGGGATAGATGATGATGGCGGGCTGGCACTTTTGTCTCCAGCGGCCCAGACTGTGTGCAGTTAAGTGATGAGGTCTTGTCTTTCTTCCTTGCTACAGGTGAAAATCTGGTACAAAAATGGCAGGTTCTTTCAGAGGTCCTGAGCTGCTCAGAGAAGCTGGTCTGCTGCCTGGGCCGCCTAGGGAGTGTGAGTGAAGCCAAGGCCTTTTGCTTGGAGGCCCTGAAACTTACCACGAAGCTGCAGCTGCCATGCCAGTGAGTGCAGAGCCCGAGCGGTCCCTATTCTGACCCTGAGAGCCACACGCTCTAGATCGTAGATGCCCAGACCATCCTAGAAAGGAACATTATGTTTAGGGGGTTGGTGGGAGGCCTCCCGTGGAATGCTGAGTTAATCAAGGTTAGAGGTTTTTATTTTCTGTGGACTTTTTGAGTGTCTCTCAGAATGCTGGTAGGACCGCATATCTTGAAAGATCTAGTGCTGCATTTCCCTAAGTTTATTTGCTGACAGAATCTTTTGAGAAAAGCAGTTAGAAAATCCTGTCTACAGATGCAGGGTGAGTTGGGATGAGAGAGAATTATAGAGGGTTTTCCCCAGGGAGCCTGTAAGTCAGCTTGAGGGAATGAGAAAGGCCTTTTGGAGGGGCTGGGGATTTATCTCAGCGGCAAAGCACCTGCCTGGCAAGCACAAGGTCGTGAGTTCGGTTCCCGGTAACAGAGAAAAACAAAACAAAAAAAAAAAGAAAGGCCTTTTGGAGACAAGACGTGATGACCACATGCGGAAGTGGCCAGTAAGGGGGCGGGGATGTAGCTCATCAGCACAAGCACCTGTCTGGCAGGCTTGAGGTCATGAGTTCGATTCCTGGTACCAAAAAAAAAGAAAAGAAAAAGAAAGTGGCCAGGAGAGAGACTGCAGGGAAACTGAGTATCCCCCTGATGGCCTCTCAACTCCTCTCCCAAAAAGGTGTGCCCTGTTCCTGGTGCTGAAAGGCGAGCTGGAGCTGGCCCGCAGTGACATGGACCTCTGTCAGTCGGACCTGCAGCAGGTTCTGTTCCTGCTCGAGTCCTGTACAGGTAAGCAGCGGTGGGGGTGACACACACATCTGCCAGGCAGTGCCCTTTGGCTTTAAGACTGTCGGTGTCCCCACCTCTAGATGGCCCGCCCCGTGCCAACCCTCCCTGGTTCTCGCCTTCAACATTGCCCAATTCAGGGGCTGGGGATTAACTCAGCGGCAAAGCGCCTGCCTGGCAAGCACAAGGTCGTGAGTTCGGTTCCCGGTACCGGAGAAAAACCAAAAAAAAAAAAAAACATTGCCCAATTCATTTGGGCTTTTTAAATTTATTTATTTATTTATTGGGCTTTTTAAATTTAAATTCGGGGGGCTGGGGATATAGCTCAGCGGCATAAGTGCTTGTCTGGCAAGCTTGAGGTCATGAGTTCGATTCCTGGTACCAAAAAAATAAATAAATAAATTTAAATTTGGTTCAATAAAATTTAAAATTCAGGTCCCAGTCCCACTTGCCACATTTCACATGCTGAGCGGCACATGTGGCCAGCACTGCTGCGTAGGATAGGACAAGTGTAGTGTCCCAGGGTGGTGTAAGCTAAGACTAAGACATTGTATTATGGCACATTTTTTCTTATCAACCTTTTTTTTTTTTTCTTTTTCTGTACTAGGGTCCAAACCCAGGGACTCTCTACCACTGAGCTATATGCCCAGCCTTTTATTCTAATTTCTTTTATGTTGAGACAGGTTCTCAGTACTCCGTTCATATGCAACTCAAACTTGCTATCCTCCTGCCTTAGCCTCCCTCAGTGCTAGAATTACAGGCGTTCACCACCACGCCCAGCTTCACCCATTTTCACCTCTAATACTTTATTTGCCCCACATAAAACTCTATACAGTTAGGTAGGTGCATAGATTTTTGTTTTTTACAGAAAAATGGAGAAATTCAATGCTTTGGGCCAGTCAGGGGCAGAAGGCAGGATTATGATGGGCCTCCTGGTAACATCAACCTAGTCTTCTAGCCATGGTCCTCTGAGCTGCGGGTGTGGGGCTTTTTGTGCTGTTATCCCTTGCTGGATGGAAGGAAAACATTAGAAAATTTCTCTAAAAGCTAATAAGCTACACTGGTATGATTGAATTTTATACAGTAATACATGTGAATAATTTGTAGATAAATAACACAGATATGAGGGAGTTGGACCTTAAGGGAGCTCAGGAAGTATTTAATACCAAGGGTTTTGTAATTCTTACTCTGCTGTCTCCCTAGAGTTTGCGGGGGTGGCCCAGCACCCAGACGCTGTGAAGAAGGTCCACCTACAGAAGGGGAAGCAGCCGGCCCGGGCCCCCCGGCCCCCGCAGCTCCTGGAGGAGGAGTCTTTCCTAAAAGGTCCTGCTCTGGAGCTGGTGGCCACCGTGGCCAAGGAGCCCGGCCCCACTGCACCTTCGACAAACTCCTCCCCGGCTCTAAAAACCAAGCCCCAGCCCCGCCCTGGCTTCCTTTCTCACTCCGCCACCTGTGACTGCTCGCTCTGTGCCAGCCCTGTCCTCTCAGCGGTCTGTCTGCGCTGGGTGTTGGTCACAGCAGGCGTGAGGCTGGCCACAGGCCGTGAGGCCCAGGGTCTGGAGCTGCTGCAGGTTGTGCTAAAGGGTTGCCCTGCAGCGACCAAGCGCCTCACCCAAACTCTCCAGGCTTCCCTGAAGCACAAAGCCCCCGCCTCTCCTGTCCCGAGCCTTCTGGATGAGCTGCTGGCGCAGGCGTACACACAGCTGGCGCTGGCGGGCCTGAAGCAGCCTTCAAACAAGAGCCTGGGGAAGATCCTAGAGTCGGGGCTGAAGTTCACGGCCCCGCGGATCCACCAGCTGGAGCCCTGGCGAGTCAGCCTGCTCTTGATTCAGGCCCTCGCGAAGCTGGCTGGCCTCAGCTGCTGCACTGCCCAACTTTTTGCAAGCTCCTGGGGCTGGCAGCCACCACTGAGCAAAAGCCCGCCAGGCTCAGAGCCTTCTAAGCCGCAGAGCCAAAAACGTTGTGGCCGGGGGCACCAGCAGGCAGCCTCTGCTCCCCCGCCCCTCCATAATACCTCTCACAGAGGCCCAGAAGGGGGCGGACCACCTTGTACGCCTAAGCCCCCAGGCCGGGTCAGGCCAGCTGGCCCTCGAGTCCCCTTCACCGTGTTTGAAGAAGTCTGCCCTACGAAGAATAAGCCCGAGGTTCCCCGGGCCCCCAGAGTACAGCAGAGGGTCCAGACGCGCCTTAAGGTGAGGTGGGACTGGCCAGGTGGTGTTGGTCATGGGGGCGGAAGGCGGTGTTCTTTGAGCAATGTTCCTGTGGAAAGCTCCTCGGGCCGAGTGGAACCATGATCTGTTGGGAGGACCTCTCCATCTCCCTTAGCTCTGGATTCTTTCCTTCCTGTCCTTCCTCCTATCTTCTCTTCGTCCTTTCACCTTTCACACTGGAGCCACTCTTGGGATCCAGTATAGCTGGTGTTGCCAGGCGTAGTGGCGCACACCTGCAATCTCAGCACTCGGGAGGCTGAGGCAGGAGGAGCACTGGGAGTTCAAAGCTAGCCTGGACTACATGGTGAGACCCTGTCTCAAAAAATAAATAAAAGCCTGTGTAATGGGGAATTCCTGTCTTCCCTTAAGGTGGGATCCGTGAGTGCCTCTGCAGCGCCACCTGCTGTCAGCAGGAGATGTCTCTGAAAGCCCTTTGGCCTTCCCTCTGATCCCAGGTGAACTTCAGCGATGACAGTGACTTGGAAGACCCTGTCTCCACTGAGATATTACTTGTGGAGGAACCTAAGAGACACGGCACTGCTTCCCGGGGTCAGGGCCGGGGCCAGGGCCGGGCTAGGAAGAGCCCAGGCTTGAAGACAGGTGCAGCGGCTGCTCCAGGTAGCGCTGCTGTGAGTAGGAGCCGTAGAACCAAGAAGGCGGCATCAAGACCCTGTGAAGAGCAGGACCCCCAGACAGCCCACTGTGGCCAGGCCAGGCTGGGCCCCGAGATCATGAGGGCCATCCCCGAGGAGCTGACTGACAGCTGGATGGAAATGAGCTTCGAGACCCTCAGAGCCTCCGATGGAGAAGACTCGGCCTCAGGTATGGCGATGGGTGAGTGGGAGAAGGCGTGTGTTGGGGGGTCCCTGGTAACTGGTGCCAAGAGAGTCCAGGAGGAAAGCCGTTGCTGGCGTGCGGAGCTGGTGTGTAGAAGGGGACAGAGCAGACGGCGGGAGAGGGGACTCTGAGGAAGTCCCGTTCTCTGCCCAGGTGGGAAGGCGCCCGCTCCAGGTGCTGATCCCCCCATAGGAGAATGTGAGGTGTTGAGACGCGATTCCAGCAAGGAGGAGCTGCCCGTCCTGGTCCCAGGCAAGCAGAGCAGCAGGGACCTCGGTCCTTGGCTCCGGCCCCCCACCGTCTCCGCAGCTGTTGGTGAGTGTGCTGCTGCCATCCAGTCACTTGGGTCTTTCTCACCTATCTGTGGCTCTGGCTTTGAGACTCCACCTGGATCGAGTAGTCTGGAACATGGATCTCAGCACTCTGTGCAGTAACATAACCTCTCTGAGCTTCTGTTCCTTCACTGTTGAGTGGGGTTTGTAATGCCAACACTCAAAAGGCTGAGGCAGGAGGATTGCCATGAGCATCGTGAATTCAAAGCCAGCCTGAACTGCATAATGAGACCCTATCTCCAAAAAAAAGACCCTGCTTTAAAAAAAAAAAAAAAATCAGGTGTGGTGGTGCACGCCTGTAATCCCAGCAGGAGGATTGCTGTGAGTTTAAAGCCAGCTTGAACTACATAGCAAGACCCTGTCTCAAAAAAACAAAAACAAACAAATATATATGTGTATATACACAGGCATGGTGGTGTATGCCTGTAAAACCAGCTGAGGCTGGTAGGATCACTATGAATTTGAGTCCAGCCTAAGCTCCACAGTGAGACCCTGTCTCAAAAAAAAAATAATAATAGAAAACCCAAAAATTAAAAAAATTAAGGACTTGGGAGGCAGGAGTGAGGTGGTACCTGCTAATTGGGTGGCACTCTGCTCGGGATGCCCCCTTTCATAAAGGGTGGCAGCTTGTCCATGGGGAGGTGAGAGGGGCTCCTTGGAAGTTCCTGTCCGCTAGGAAACGGGAGACCAACCTTTATGAGTGTCTTCACTGTCCTTTAGGTTCCTCTACCCTGGATTCCGTGTGCGACTCCCTGAGCATTGCTTTCTGTGGGGTCAGTCACTGCCCTCCTAGTGGGCTCTACGCCCACCTCTGCCGCCTCTTGGCCTTGTGCCTGGGCCACCGGGATCCCTATGTCACTGCCTTCCTCGTTGCTGAGTCTGTCTCTATTACCTGTCGCCACCAGCTGCTCACCCACCTCCACAGACAGCTCAGGTGAGCGCTTGCCATCACTGGGGCTCTGCCGGCCGAGCTGTGGGGAGGCCCCCCTTCGGAGAAGGGACTCACCCCTGCTTGTGTTGCCTCCAGCAAGGCCCAGAAGCATCGAGGATCACTCAGACTGGCGGAGCAGCTGCAGCAGCTGAGCCTCCAGGAGCTGCCTGGCGATGTCCCTCTGGCCCGCATCCAGTGCCTCTTTTCCTTCAGGGCTTCAGGAGCTGGTGCCTTTCCCCAGCCTGAGAAGCAGCGTTTCCAGGAGCTCCTGGCTCTGCTCCCCAGCGGTACGGGGGCAGCTTCTGGCCAGCTCTTCTGTTGTCCATAGCAGCTTCTTGCTGAGTTCACTGGGGGGTGGAGTTGAGGCAGGGGTTGTTTGTGTAGATCTGTGCCCCTTGTGTCACGCTTTGCCTCTGTGAGCCATGTTTCTCTCACCAGACAGACATATGCTGAGTTAAGAAGTGTATGCTTACCCTCAAAGTTGAGTTACCAGCAAATTCAGTCTTTGTTCAGGTGTCTGCTGTCTTCCTACACACACACACACACGAGACCCACTGCCTGATGATCCCCTTGCCTCTCTGTGCGGGGCCCTTGTTAGCTGCCCTGAGGGACATGAGGAAGTAGGAGCTGCCTGTCCTCAGGGAGCCGAAAGCGCAGCAGAGGCTCCTTAACCCCGAGCTGGAGTTGTCCTGAGTGATGGATAGGGACTGCGTGCCAAAGGCAGGGCCGGGAATCCTCATAACAGTCACTGGGACTCGGAGTGACTCCGGGTGTGTCCTCTGTGTCAGAGGTGACTGTCTGCGTGTTGGCTGTGGCCACCCTCCAGCCTGGAACTGTGGGCAATACCCTCTTGTTGACGCGACTGGAAAAGGACAACCCCCCAGTCACTGTGCAGATCCCCACCGCCCAGGACAAGGTAGGGCTCCAGGACCAAGGGGCATGCTGGCCACAGTGGCCTTGGGTCAAGCTGCTCACATCCTGTGGCTGGGGCTAGAGATGGTGATCACTGGCTAAGCCAAGAGCTCACAGCCCCGTCACCCGCAGTTCCCCCTGAGTTCAGCGCTGAGAGAATTTGATGCCATTCAGAAGGAGCAGAAAGAGAACAGCAGCTGCACTGACAAGCGAGCCTGGTGGACAGGCCGGCTGGCCCTGGACCACAGGATGGAGGTATGTGCTGAGGGAGGAGGGTGCTCAGGCCTGCCCCAGGAGTGACCCGGGGGTGCTCAGGTCAGCACTTGGCTACTTTGAGTCCCTTCTGGAAATGTAGGCCTCAAAAAATACGACTTCACTTGGTAAAGATTGTTTTTGTACTGGGAATTGACTGGGACCTTGCACTTGCCAGGCGGATGCTGTGCCACTGAGCTACATCCCTGGTGGAAGATTTTAAATAATAAAAGCACCAGCCTTGAAAGAAGTTACGGCAGTGTTTAAAGATACACAGAAGAAGCCGGGCGTGGTGGCACACGCCTGTAATCCCAGCACTCGGAGGCTGAGGCAGGAGGATCGTTGCGAGTTTGAGACCAGCCTGGGCTACAAAGTGAGCTCAAGGCCAGCCTGAGCTGCATATCGAGACCTTGACTTAAAAAGACCAAAAAAAAAAAGATACACAGAGGAGTCGGTTGTGATGGCACATGCCTTTAATCCCAGCCTCTCAGGAGGCTAAGGCAAAAGGATTGGGAGTCTGAGGCTAACCTGGGCCACTTAGCAAGACCCTGTATCAACTTTTTGGTTTTTTTTGTTGTTGTTGTTGTTTTGAGACAGGGTCTTGATATGCAGTTCAGGCTGGCCTTCAACTCATTTTGTAGCCCAGGGTGACCCCAAACTGGCAACAGTCCTCCGGCCTCAGCCTCCTGAGTACTGGGATTACAGACATGTGCCACCACGCCCGGCCAGAGCTCAAATTTTTAAAAAAGATAAAATAAGCCCAAGTATTGTCTTCCTGGCTGTAGCTTTCATTGCTCACCTGTTCATATTTGTCACAGCAGATCAGTGTATAATAAATAGTCTTTACTCCCATAGTCGGACTGGGGATATAGCTCAGAGGCACAAGCACCTGCCTGAGAAGTGCAGCATCCTGAGTTCGATTCCTGGTACTCACAGAAAAAAAAATCCACTCAGTATGCCCAGAGTCTCAGGAAATGAGGACAGGTTCCAGCCTCTGGCTTATGTGGCTGGCAGGAAGATATGTAGGGCACGTGTACACGTTGGAAGCCACTTTGCTCATGTCCAGAATGTTGGTGCCTGTGGGGAAAGAAGCATGACTTCTGGCTTCCTGTCTGACCGAGGGCTCCATCCCCTCTCCCAGGACCTCATCACCTCCCTGGAGAAGCATGTGTTGGGCTGCTGGCGGGGGCTGCTGCTGCCCTCCAGTGAGGAGCCCGGCCCTGCGCAGGAGGCCTCCCGCCTGCAAGAGTTGCTGCAGGACTGCGGCTGGCAGTATCCCGACCCCACTGTGCTGAAAGTGAGTTCAGGCATCAGGGAAGGGGGAGCTGCTGGACACGGCACCTGCTAACCCCGTTCCCCTGTAGGTCTTGCTCAGTGGTGCCAGTACCCTCACAACCCAGGACATTCAGGCCCTGGCCTACGGGCTGTGCCCAGCCCAACCAGACCGAGCCCAAGAGCTCCTGACTGAGGCAGCCGAGCGTCTACAGGGGCAGACAGCACCAAGCAATAAGCACCTTGTCTTGGTGCTGGACAGGGTAAGGAGGTAGTGGGTAGTTGGCACCAGCTCACCGCAGGCCTCTTTGGGCCCTGGCTGGGGACAGTGACCTTGGAATGCCCTTGGCTCAGGATCTGCAGAAGCTGCCGTGGGAAAGCATACCCTGCCTGCGAGCACTGCCCGTCACCCGTCTGCCCTCCTTCCACTTCCTGCTCAGCTATTCCGTCATCAAAGAGGTGGGATGCACAGCGTCTGGTCCGGGAGCATTGGTCACTGGCAGGGGCCTGGAGAGGCAGTTAGAGAGACCTGGGGGACAGCAGCTGCCCCCAGGAGCGTCAGATGCAGAAGGAGGCTCGGAGGCTGCCGAAGGTTGGCCCTGCAGCAAGACCAGGTCCTAACCACCAGTGTCTCCCCTCAGGCTGGGGCCTCATCGGTGCTGAGGCAGGGGGTGGATCCTCGGAGCGCCTTCTATGTCCTGAACCCTCACAATAACCTGTCAAGCACAGAGGAGCAATTTCGAGCCAAGTTTAGCAGGTCAGAGGGGCGAGGGCACAGAGGCGGGGCGGGGGGGGGGAGATAGTGACATCGTGCCAGGGCGCAGCGCCTTTATCCCAGAACCAGTGCCTTCGTCTGCTGTCCCCTCCGCCCTCTCTGCCACATGACCCCTGCTGTGCAGGTCCTGTTCCTACTCCCGCCTTTTCTCTGCAGTGAAGCTGGCTGGAGAGGGGTGGTCGGGGAGGTGCCGAGGCCGGAACAGGTGCAGGCGGCCCTGACAGAGCATGACTTGTATATGTGAGTGTACAGGGCGGGCTGAGGAGGGGGCAGCCCTGAGGATGGTCACTATGGGTTGCTCTGGCACCTTCAAGCTGCTGGCCTTGCAGGCCGAGGTTCTGCTAGGTCAGTGCTTATCTCATTTCCCTCTGCCTTAGCTACGCTGGGCACGGGGCTGGCGCCCGCTTCCTCGACGGACAGGCAGTGCTGCGGCTGAGCTGCCGGGCGGTGGCCCTGTTGTTTGGCTGCAGCAGCGCGGCCCTGGCTGTGCACGGAGACCTGGAGGGGGCTGGCATCGTGCTCAAGTACATCATGGCCGGCTGGTGAGGCTCAGGGGCGAGACCTGTCCTAGTGCATTAAACGCCCGCGCCTACCTCGGCTCTTTCCCACCTCGGAGCCCCGACTCGTTGCTTGCCTTCCTGCCACCCCGGTTCCCTGAGGATGCCTGGCCCGGTAACCCGGGACCCCCTTCCATTCTCCTCCAACCACGGGCCATGGGAGCGCCTTGTTGGCTCAGCCTCCTTTCTCATCCACCGCTGCCTCCACTCATGTCTTCCAGGTCGGCCCTTCCAGGGCCCTCACTTGGCATTTGTTTTTCCAGCCCCCTGTTTCTGGGAAATCTCTGGGACGTGACTGACCGAGACATTGACCGCTACACAGATGCTCTCCTGCAGGGCTGGCTCCGAGCGGGCCCAGGGGCCCCTCTGCTCCGCCACGTCAGCCAGGCCCGCCAGGCTCCCCGACTCAAGTCTCTTATCGGAGCCGCACCTGTCGCCTACGGCTTGCCCGTCTTCCTTCGGTGAGGCTTGGCGCTGTCTCCTTGCTGGCAGAGGCTATGTGACTGCTCTACCTCCAACCTTAGATTCTACCCTCAGGATAGATATTTTAAAGTCATTTTCCCTCGAGTTTTATATGAAATATTTCCTTCCCATTTAATCTTAATATAATAAAGATATATCACTTATGCCCTGTGTGTGGTGTATTTGAGAATATCTGAAGACAAAAAAACACCTGTGCGCGCACGCGCGCACACACACACACACACACACTGTCTGCTACTGTAAGCAGGTGGGAACAGCTTGCAGGATTCAAGTTTGAGAACTGTGGGAAGAAAGAGAAAGCCATAGGATAAAGCTGAACCAGGGAGCCGGGCGTGGTGGCGTACACCTGTAATCCCAGCACTCGGGAAGCTGAGGCAGCAGGACTGCACATTTGAACCCAGTCTGGGCATTTTAGTGACTTAGCAAAACCCTGTCAAAATGTTTCAAAGGGCTGATGACGTAGCTCAGGATAAAGGCCTAGGTTCAAGCATCAGGAAAAAACAAGTGGAAACAGGTCCCAGAAAGGGCAGCGGTAGGTGTTAGGAGTATCTTTTTTTTTAAATTAGATTTTATTGGTACATTTTAGATATACATAATGATCACATCTATCATAGGGAATTTGTACCCCTACATGATATAACTCGTTTTTTCCCCATTCCCCTCCCTTCAAGCCCTCCTCCCCTCCCCATTTACAAAAGCTTTGTTTCCATGTTATCCCTCTGTTCTCAGTTTTTTAACTTTTCCCTTCGTTCCTCCCCCCCACTCCCTTGTGCCCCTCCCCGTTTGAACATTCTCTTCCTTCTTCACAGTGCCCATGGCGGAGGGCATCTTCACGCCTCCGTTGCTCAGCCTCTCCAAAGGCTGTTTCGGGCAGCCGCGCTCTCCCCGCTGTAGCTGCTGGCTCCTCAGTGCCGGTCCCTGGGCCGCATGTTCTGTGGGTTCTGTTATCAGTGTGTGTCTCCAGGGAAACGTTGGGATGCACGCCCCTCCCGCTCCCCACAGCCGGCACAAGGGCCTAGCACGTCGTGTGCCGAGCTGGGTGGCCCACAGTAGTGGCTCCTTCACTTTCCACCTCATCTTACCCTCCCTTCCGCATGTTTCCGTGCTTCCCACGGCTCGAAGAACTTCACAGGCCCGACCGGCCTGTCACTAGGCCTAGGACAGCATAAAAGATAGGTAAAAAGGAAACACGGAAATCCTAACTAAGAAATCATGCTTTGGAGAAGACTGCAACTTCTGGAACCCAGTCAAAGTCACCCCGCGGTGATCCATATGTGCCTTCCCTCGGTTAAATGTAGGCTCCTTCCCTTCCAGATCTATCCTCGCACTCAAAATTCCTCTGAGCACTGCAAGTCCATAAACTGGCTTAACCGAGAAAGAGCAGGAACCTGATCCTAAGATATAGACTTGAGAGAACCCCAAGAATGTTTAACCCATTTTAAAAAGCAAGCCCCACCTGGGGCCATCATGTAGACCAGACTGAGGATTTGGCCATCTTCTTTGGGGTTTCCACTCCTTCAAGAGCAGCAGGGATGTTTCCCGGAAATAATGCATCTCCCCCCCCCTCTCTATTTCTCTCTCTCAGACCCACAGTATTTCTTTGAGTGTGGGACTTCCACTTTCTGCCTAAGAAACCCTTCTTGAGCCTCTTACTGATGCATCCTGGAAATTCTTTTCTCTGCAACAAATCGGCGAACCTGCAATCCTATTCTACCGGTGGGGCGGGCGTTAGCTTCCTACTCTCAGCTTTGGGAACCTCCCCAGACCCGTCTGGTGACAGTACCACCCGGCTGGAGCAGCACACGGTGCTTTACAATATTGTACTTGAGTCGGGTGTACGGGCACACACCTGAGATCTCAGCACTATGGAGGCTGAGGTAGGAGGATCGCTGCGAGTTCAAGCCCACACTGGGTTACATAGTAAGTTCAAGGCCAGCCTGAATTACAGAGCAAGACCCTGTCTCAAAAAAACTAAAGAAAGTGTGGTTGAGTTCTGAGGATTTAACGGTTTTTAATTCCTGTGCGCGGAAGTAATGTTTGCTACATAGTTACCACCCGGGGTTTAGGATACTTTGTGATTCGCGGTTATCTACTGCCATCTACGTTCCACCCCCGCCCCACCCACCAAGGCCCAGGTCATAGAGACGTGTGGCGCAGCGCGACCGCCCGGCGCAGCCATAGAGATGCGCAGAGGACGGCTAGAACGTAACTCGCTGAGCGGACTTCCTCCGCAGCGGCACTCGTTACCGACATGGCGCAGTCGATTAACATCACCGAGCTGAATCTGCCACAACTAGAAATGCTCAAGAACCAGCTGGACCAGGTGGGGACGGGCGCCAGAGGCAACTTTCTCGCCCCTCAGCCACCCCTCCCCCGCGCTAACCCCTTCGCCCCCTGGCGCCCCGGCTGGGGAGCTTTCCTTTGCCCGGCGAGCCCCTGCTGGCCCCAGCCCCTGCCATGGCTC